CTCTCCCAACTTTGTCTCTTGCTCATGGACCTACACGTTGCCCAGGATGGCCGCATTCCAGACCAGAGGGTGGCCCAGGATGACGGCTAGGATCCTTTGCCAGATACTCACTTTCCCAGAATCCCTAGCAGCTTGGGGTGGCCATGGAATCCAGTTCTGATGAAGGAAACAAAAAGCAAAGTCCTAGGAGGACTTTCTGAGGAAGGTTTGATGTCCTGGGGACAGCGACAGCCAGGAGCAGAGAGTTTGCTCGCTCTGCCCCTCCCCTGCCTCAAGTGCACCCCTGGTCCCTGGAGCAGCTGCAGAGGGCTTGGAAAGATGAAGGCTATGAATGGCGGAGGTGAGAGGCTGAGGAAACAGAGCCCTTAGTGACATGGCTGAGCTGCAGGACCAGCCCCAGCAATGCCTCCCCTGGGAATCTCTGGGTAAATAAACATTCCATGTCCTTTTGGTTGAAGCAACTGTTAGCTGAGGATTCTGCAAAGCTGCACAAATGCCAACAGCTGTTTGCTCTGCCTGGGGCCGGACTGTATCCACTGATGTGGTCACGGGGATTATCTCCCGCCGATCAGAAGCTCTTATCAGCAGCTCCACGTGGCTCTCAGTAATAAGAAATGGTCAAATGAACTGCTTTGCAGTGAGTGCACTTTGTCTGGTAGACAGAAATATTTCCACATATGGAGCCCCTGGGGGAAGAAGCGACGCATTATAAAGGCATCTTTGGTGACACAAGAAGAAGGGAAGGCTGTCATTACCCTGCCAGGCGCGCTGTGCTGGTCCCAGGCACTCGTCTTTGAGCTCTAGCTCCGTGCCGGGCACTGTGCGTGCAGAAGGAGCTAACTGATTGAGGGGGGCAGGAAGGACCTCGTGGACGGGGCCATATTTCTGCTGACCCCCAGAGGCATGAGAGTCAACCTGGAGTGGAGAAGGGAATAGAAAGTTCCAGAGAGAGAGAAGAATAACACTCAGTCCTCCAGACAATCCTGTGCGACATACATGAAAAGAGACTATCGTTTCCATGTGTGTCGGTCAGCATAGGCTAGGCAATGCCATGGTAACAGGCAGCCCAGGAATCGTTACAGGTTTAACAGTGTGTTTCCCACTCATTCTTCTACTGGTATATTCATCACAGGTGGGCGGGGGCTCTGCACACTGTCATTCCTCAGGAGGCCAGGCTGACGGAGGCTCCGACGAGACCCATGTTCCACATCAGACACAAGCGAAAGAAAACGTGGCGGGGACTCTGTAGAGCGTTTCCCCGGAGTGTCCATGTCACCTCTGCACACATTGCAGTGGCCAGAGCAAATCACAGGTCACAAGCACAGGAAGGAGCACCAGATAAGGGCGGTCAGTGACATGTCCTACAACCCACTGTGCAGATGGGAAAGTGGGGTTTAAAAAGAGTGCGGTCAGTCCAAGGTCCCTCAGTGGAAGGAGGCAGAGCAGGGATTGAAATGAGGGTTTCTGACTCGAAATCTTTGGTCAGAGAACTTTCCACTCTGACCAGAGATGAAATGAAAAGCCCAGCAGGTGTGGAAATGCTATAGCAAACAGTGGGTGTCCGAGGACAGCCCCATTCCTGCGCATCCTGGACTCCTCCGAGTGCTGGCACCCTCGGCAGACTGACGGCCACGGCCCCCACCCAGAAGTTTCCTCTGGCAGCCTGGCCAGCAGAGCAGAGTCTGAGCCCCCAGCGCTGATCTAAAGCACGACTCTTCTTAAATCTGCTGCTCTGAAACCCAGGCATCTGCAGGGCTGCGCTGCCAAGATGGGCCCCGCCCCCTCCACGGGCACCTTCTCCTTGGAACAGTGGGCCCCCGGTTTTCCCAGCACAGAAGGCCGCTGCCGCCGCCTCGGCTGGTTCCCAGTGCGGTTCCCGGCTTCTCACCTCCTCGGGGATGAGCTGCTGCTTCCAATTTCTTAGATCCCAGCATCATCTTCCTGGTCCCTGTCCCTGATCCAAGTCTGAGACCAGGTAATCCTCACAAGCACTGAGACATCTGTGAGGCTCGAGCCAGATCTTGGCTAAGCTCCGCACTGTGCTGGCAAGCTGTTCCCTCCTCTACTTGCAGTCAAGTCGAATCAAAATACCTAAAGTGCCCCCATTAGCTCTTCAATGATCCCTTTAAGATGGCATAAAGGACAGTAAAAAGGTGAGAAGTCTCTGAAATAATAAATTCTGTCTCTGAAATAAACCCAACATTGAACCCTGCATCCAACTGGTTAGCAAAGTCTGATGGCTCTGCCTTCACTATACACCCGGTCTGACCACGTCTCGTCTCCCCACCAGAGCCGCAGGTCCGGGCCACCGCCTCCTCTCTGTGGCGCCTGCAAGAACTCCCACCTGGACCCTGTTCCCTGCTGTCTCTGCCCCTTTAACCAATTCTCCACGTAGATTCAACCACTTGGTCAGAGCAAGTCACTGGCCTGCCACACGCCTACCCCTCTAACACCCCCCCGCCCCGACACCGTCCCCCTCGGCGGAAGCTCAAGCCCGGAGACTGGCCTTCTGGCCTCTGGTGGTTGTTCCTGTGGCCCATCTGGCCCCCTCCTGACACCCCCCTCTCAGTCTCACACCTGGTCAGTCACATTGGCCTCCAGGGTGTCCGTGGCCACTCTAGGCACGACCTGCACAGGGGCCTAAGCATTGCTACTCCTCTTTCTGGCACATTCTGCCCAGTGCAAGGCACACCCTGACCTGGGAGCCTTGGCGTGTGTGTGTCCTTCTCTGTGGGGTGCCTGTCCCTCTCAAACTGAACCACTGCCCCCAGCCAGCCCTGCGTGCACTCCCTTCCCCTCCTTGGCTTTATTTTTCTTAGAGCACCTGTCACTGCCCAACAAAGAGTAGGTCTATTGTTACGATGTTCATTACCTGCCGTGCCCACTTGAACAAAAGCTCTGTGAGGCCCTAGCCCAGTGATGGCGAACCTTTTGAGCTCGGCGTGTCAGCATTTTGAAAAACCCTAACTTAACTCTGGGGCCGTGTCACATATAAAAATTTTTTGACATTTGCAACCATAGTAAAACAAAGATTTATATTTTTGATATTTATTTTATATATTTAAATGCCATTTAACAAAGAAAAATCAACCAAAAAAATGAGTTCGCGTGTCACCTCTGACACACGTGTCATAGGTTCGCCATCACTGCCCTAGCCAGTTTGCCTCAGTGGATAGAGAGTCAGCCTACGGACCGAAGGGTCCTGGGTCCAATTCCGGTCAAGGGCACGTATCTGGGTTGCAGGTTCCTCCTCAGCCAGGGCCCTGGTGGGGGCTTGTGCAGGAAGCAACCAATCGATGTGTTTCTCTCCATCGATGTTTCTCTCTGTCTCTCCCTCGCTCTAAAAATCAATGGAAAAATATCCTCAGGTGAGGATTTTAAAAAATAGTAATAACAAAAGCTCTGTGAGGACAGGGCTGTGGTCCCCACCTGCTCGCTGCTATGCAAATACCCCTGAAGGGACAGCACCCAACCAAGGAGGGAGCCTCGTCCATGTTTGCTGAACCTCCGTGAGCCTGGAAAGCAATGACGCTGTGCTCTCTCCGGAGCCACACAGAGCTGGGTTTGGATCCTGCTCTGCCACTGGCCACCTGGGATCCCAGGGGAAAGTTGCCTGCTACCCCTGAGCGTTCCTTTCTCAGTGAAACAGACACCATTTCCCCAAGGTTTCTTGTGAGGAATGAATGAGATCATGCCTACGAAGCACGTAACACAGTGTCTGGCCCAGAACGCACACTGAGAACTGGCAGGAGCTATGCTTAATTACCAAGTGATAGCGCAGAGATGCCACATGGCTGAGTGGGTGCGAGGGGGCCACCTGGGCTCGCTCACAGCTCAGTGCTGGCTCTGGCACATGGCCTCGCAGGCCCTGAGATTCAAACTTTGCCTCCACCAAGTTACAAATTATCATACGATATGGATCCTCCCAGACTCGGTCAAGTAGTCCAACTTACAAGGTTAAGCTTCAACATGAAGGCTTCTGGAATATTAATTGACGTTGGATAAAGAAGCAGCACGATAGGAAATGGTGAGAAAGGCTTGGGGAAGATTTGTAGAATGATAGAATTTCCACCAGCTGGGCCATACTAAATGCCCATCCTGATCCCTCTGCAGCATGCCCCTCCTGGTGCCCTGTGCGTGGCTCTAAGCTCTCGGTTCTCTTGTTTCAGCCTGCACTGCTCCTAGCATTCAAGAACCCCAGTGCCATCCCAGCTCACAGGCTACACCCGGATTTGCAGGGATCGCTCGACTTCAGATGGGCCACCTTCGTAAAACCCACCCTCAACCAGGACAGACGGGGAGCAGGATCTCCAATCCCAGCTGCACCCTGTGTATGAACACCCCAGACCTCCTCCCGGGAGCTCCTTTCCTTCAGTAGCAGCTGAATTTAAATTGCAACGTGACCCTTGCCCTTCCGTGAGCTGGCCCAGCACCCACATGCCTACAAGGCTGTGTCTGTTCCATCATGGCCACGGCGGGGTTTTCTGAGGTACAAGTGAGGCCGTAGGTCAGCGTCCTGGTCGGGTGTGAGGCTTTAGAGCCAGGCGGCCCTGCCGTGTGCACTGGCTGCCCCCTACCTCTGTGTTTGCAGACAAACCCAGAGCCTCCATTTCCACAGGAGGAAGGCAGAGCTGCCACAGTGTTCAACACTGTTATAAAGGACAGAAACACTGTATGCAAGAGCCTGGCACAGACCAGACCACTGATGAGCTGCAACATTGTCATTACCTTCTAAAACAGCCCCTCATTCTCTCTGCCCTTCTCCTTCTCGCACCTGGACTAGAGCAGAATCCGCACAATGGGCTCCCTGCCAGTCTTGCCCCTTCACATTCTTCCTCCAAGTGCAGCCAAAGAGACGCTGCACACATGCAGGCCACTTCCTCGTGTAACTCTCCTACCAGCTGCAGAGGAAAGCGCACTGCCTGTGCATGCGGAGCTAGTCTTCCGCATACTTGCCGAGGACTTACCTTCACGAGCCCCCGCAACGTGGTGCCACCTACCTCCTTCCACAGGTCCTTCCATGCACAAGCAGCCGCCGAGCAGCCCCTCCAGGGGAGGTCCCGTGCCTGGCTGAGCAGGCCGAAGTGAGGCGGTAAATTCCCTGTAGCCGCCGAGGCCACAGGTAAATGCACAGGTGCCTGAGGCATCCCACCTGAAACACAAAGGAGCGCAGGGGAGGGTCAGTCCACACAGGTGGTCGGAAAGCATCGAGGAGGCGGCGAGGCTCTGTGGCTGTGGATGGCACTAGCCCCTCCCTGACAAGGCCAAGGATTCATCAGAAAGGGGAGCCTTCCTCCGAGAAGAGAAGCCGCTTTTAATTAAAGGGAACCTGTGAGGCAAATCACTCCGATCAAAAGTGCTTTGTTATTCGGATGTTGTCCTGTAAAATATGTGAGGAAACAGAGCCAAACAAATGCTTGGCTCTAAACACATTGATTAACTGAATTAAAATGAAGGGCTCAAGTAGGATTTAACCCTGTCCTGCTATTGATCCAAAGTAGGAAATGTCCTCCGCGGCTTCCCTTTCCTCTCCTGTGGAGAGAGATCGCTGTCCGAGCTCTTGGCTGCAAGCAAGGGAAGGGCTCTGACTGACAGCGCAAGGAAGAAGATATTTAAAGCTATTAAAGGATTGGGGTGCATAATAGTTACGATTGGAAAAACTGCAACTCTACAGCACAGAAACCTGGTCATCACCGCCTTAACCAGTCACCAAGGAAACATCACAGGGAACGGGAGAGGCCAACACCACGTGCCTCCTGGCGCGATGCTCCCAGGAGGACGCCACGGCGCCTCTGTGCTGGAACATGTGGCATGCCCAGAGTCACCAGGAGACTCCAGACTGGGCACCTCGACAGAATCAAATACCTGTCCTTGCTCTTAACAACAGTCAAGGTCATGATAGAAAAGACATACTGAGGAACCATTCCAAGTGGAAAGAGAACAAAGACATATGACCACTTCATATCGTGTGGGGTCTTAGAGTGGATCCGGGACCCAAGAGCAGTGTTTTTCCCTTTGGCTCTAAGGAACATCGGTGGTTCAACTGCAGAAATGTGATGGAGGCCCTCGGGCTGGGGCGATAGGAATGTATCACGCGCATTTCCTGACTTTGAACATTGCACTAAGGGTGACACTGGAAAAAGTCAAGCGGAGAGAAGGGCAGCTCAGAGACCTGCAGAGGGAGCTGGGAGCCCCACTGGAGCTCAAGCTCCCAGGAGCAGCCCCCTCAGTGGCCCGGGAAGGACACCACCACTGCAGGGCTTTGGATGGGCCACAGCCGTGCCCTGCTGGGAACCCAAGGCCTCCACTGCAAAGGGGCTTCCGCACCAGGACCTTCACCTGCTCCCAGGCCCTCCCAAACCTGTGTGCTTCTGCCACCACTTTGTGCAGCACCATGGGTCACTGCAGGAGTGAGAGTTCTCCTGCTGCTCACTTTCGGATCACGTGGCTCGTGACTGGCAGGTGGTCATGATCGGCACGCTGGAAAGTACAGGTGCTCTGAGTCCTAGCTGCAAGGGAGGCTGTGGCCTTGAGATTCCTGGTTCCTCCACTGGCAACGTGAAACTCACGAGGCAGGAGAAACTGGCAAACACAAAGAGGGTGGCAGGCCACCAGAAAGCACAACTGGTGTCTACCAGAAAGGCGAGGGCTCTTCCGCGGTCAAATTATTTGATTACAGAGTCGGTCTTTACCCACCCAATTCGTAAATCCTCATGTTTGTCTGGTTGTCAAAGTTTGTAAAATATATTTCTGCTTACTTTGGAAAGTCATAAAATATGGCTAAGGCAAGAGGCAATGATAGCTCATAAATTCTTCTTACTGTTTATTCATTTTGGGTACAGCCAGGCTCAAGCTGGCCCAGTTTAAAGCAAATTCTTCTTCCTTCCTCGCTGGATGTCTGTTCTCTGCAAACTATAAAGGCTATTAGCGGCTGGCATTTTTTGAGGCTTCTGAAGTGGACATTACGATTCATCGTCTTCTTTCGGCAGAAGTTTACAGCATGCTCGCATCAAATAAAAATGCTCTCGGCCTTTTCTAAACCTAAAGCAACAGGGAGCCCTGTCCATATTTCAACACACGGGAGCTGTAAAGAGAGAGATGAAGAGGTGTCTGCACGCAGAGAGAACAGGGCGGTCAGCAGCTCTAAAACCCCAGCACTGCTCAGAATTGCCCGTCGTGTTTGCTGAAATACCTGAGCTCCAAGCCCCAGAGAGCGATTCACAGGGCTGTGCTGGGGTCTAGGTTCTGCACTGGCAGCAAAGTCCCCAAGCTGGGCCCAAGCTGTGGGGCACAGACCCCACTTTGAGAAACTCCGGAGGGAGGAGCAGGGGTGTAGCAAGAATAAAGGCAAGGAGTGGGGATCTTTCTGGTGCCTTTGAGGAATTGCAACCCTTTCAGAATGGGCACCCCGGGGAGGTGACACTGAAGGTCACAGCTGGGAGGGGGACTCCTGCGTGGGACAGCGAGCCTCGACGGAGACAACTCCTACGCTCACCGCTGACCAGGGTCCCTCGGTCAGTCCATAGAGACCACACCCCCTGGGCCTCTGCAGTCCCTTTTCACACTTCATTTATTTATGCATGTGTTTCTCTTGGCCACCTTTGCACTGACTGTCCAGCCCCCACCTTCCATTGTCCAGAATAAAGACTAAGATTCCCACTCCAATGGCCTTTCCCCTCCCCTCCTGCCTTTCGTCCTGAGAAGGCAACGAGGCGTTTTGGTGCCCAGCTCCAGGGCAGCCTCCGGGAGGGGTGGCGTCTCCCCTCCACGGGTCCCCACACTGTGACAGAAACGCATCGGGCTGACTCTGCGTCAGAAGCCTCTGTCCCCTGCCGCCCTCCCAGCTCTCTCCCCGGATCGATGGGATTAGTAATGGCTGATTTGATTAGTGCAGCTGCAGCCTCCTTTTATTACTTTCTCGTTTACAATGAAATAATGGGGAGTGAGCAGAGGGCTTTGTCATTCCCAAGGGAGCCGATGGGGCTGAGGCAGGCCATTGCTCGTCCCGCCGCAGCCCTGACCTCGAGGCAGACGAGGAAGTCGCTGCCTTTCCCGGAAAATCGGGACGCGTGACAGTCTGTGGATCCCAGCGGGCAGTCGGGACCGAAAGCCTCAGCCTCGGTGCTCCTAATCACCACCCAGGGGCCCTGAGCGCGCAGCCGCCTCTGCCACTCTCCTGTGCGCCCGGACAGGTCGCTGGCCTTGATGGCTGACTCCAGGCCTGGTTCTGCACTTGAACCTCCTCTGGAGAATTTCTACCGCATGACGCCCAGGTGCCAGCCCAGCAATTAGGATTCCTGGGGTCTAGGTGGGGCCCCAACCGCCCCTCTGTAGAATGACGGCCAGGCGATTCCGGGGCACACAGGCACTGGGGATAGGTAACCCTGGGTCCGAGGCGACCACCGCCACCCTCACATATATCCTGCCTGTCAGCTGGGGAGAAATCTCACCAGTGCCCCCAAAATGCCACACCTTTTTCCACCTTCATATTCTATCTGTGCTGTTCTCCACACGAAGGATCTCCTTTCCCTCCTCCACCCCATCCCTCCTCCACCTGGGAAACTCCTCCTCACTACAAAAGGCCCAGACAGCCCGGCCAGTGTGGCTCAATGGTTGAGCGTCCACCTATGAACCAGGAGGTCACGGTTCGATTCCCAGCAGGGCACATGCCCCAGGTTTCGGGCTCCATCTCCCAGTGGGGGGGCCTGTAGGAGGCAGTTGGTCATCTCTCATCATTGATGTTTCTATCCCTCTCTCCCTCTCTCTTCTTCTCTCTGAAATCAATTTTAAAAAATATTTTTAATAAATAAATAAACAAAAACTTGTTTGTTTCCCTGGGCACTGGAGGCAAACCTGGGCATAAAATACCATTTTATACAGATAACAGGCCCAGGTGGTTAAAATGCTCCTCTATGTTACATGTGAGGAAACTGAGGCCCAAGAAATTAAATGACCAGGCAAAGTAACAGCCCCGAGTGCAGAGCTGGAGCTAGAACCTGGGTCTCCCTCCGCGGGCTTCGGGCCACATGGCTGGCTGAGACCAAAGTTCTCATAAAGGCGGCAGCTCTGAGCCCAAACCCGCAGCCACCTTGCCCCAAAGGGTCAGTATCACTTACACCCACAGTTTCTCGTTTCTGCCTCCAAACTCCCAACGTGTGCTAGAAGGTGAAGTGGCTGGTGCCAGGAACTCAGGCTTTGGCATCAGGTTCCACCTCTTACCAATTATGTGACTTAAGACAAGTGCCACATGTACCCAAAAGGCAGGAAGACACTCTAGGCAACTTAAACTGGCAGAATTGTCTCGGAGACGTGGGGACACTGTGGGGAAGGTCTGGGTGCTCTGGGAGGGGCGCCGTCATGCAAGGCTGCAAACCTGGCCGAATTGCGGGGGGCTTCCCCGAGGGCGGAGCATGGGGAGAGGACAGCGTGAAGGAGGTGGTCAGGACCGGGACCGGGATTTGAGCTAATGGGACACTCGGAGCCATCCTTCAAAGGTCTTGAGAAACGCCTGCCAGCTCAGAGGGTCAGAGATGCGAGCCAGGACAGATATACAGAGTATTCAGGGCCACACCCTCTAAAGCAGTGAAAAACCGCAGGTCAGCGAAGGTAGGACAAAGGACGGAGCACAGGGCGGCAGGCCCAGCACGGAGGAGGTGGCCGTCAGCGCCGTCTTTGGGAATACACATGACGTGGGAGAAATGTTACATAAAAAGCGAGGGATGTGCCTGTGTATCCACCAGAGTATACATATTCATGACGGGAGAACTGGGAGGAAACAGCACACCAATGTGTATATACATACTACCACTGGTTCTGTCTGGAGATATGCTTACAAGTTTTAAATAACTTTCAGTATTTTGTAAAATTTCTCCCACAGATCATACTTTTCACATTTACTTACTTTTATTCAGGGAGAAAGTTCATTTTGAAAAGAAAAAAGACATTTTCACCGAGATGGTGGGAAGTGAAGACAGAAGCCATTGCCCCTCCCCACACTGAAGCCAAAGCCAAGGCTCCGAAGGGCAAGACGGCGTCCACTCAACCACGGCAAACCCGCACATCCCCGCATGCCAGCAGGTGAGCACCAGACCCAAAGGGCACCACCACCCGGCTGGTGTTGCTCAGTGGTGAGCGTCGACCCATGAACCAAGA